AAAATTTTGTAATGGGTACTACAGCCTATGACAAAAACTTTTTGTATGCAGGTTCACGTCTTCGTATACCCCCCATATAACGTACCTCCAGATTTTTGATATTTTAATAATTTTAGCGACATCATTCACTGGAACTGTTTCAAATTTCGTATTTGAAGTTCGTAATGGCTACTAGGGCCTATGACAAAAAAAATCGTAAGCAGGTCCACGTCTTTGTATAGTCCCCATATAACGGTTTTCATTTAAGTGGTAGTTTTCGGAATTTTTTTGAAATTCTTCAAGTTCCTTCCATTTCGGCCAAGCTGAACTTAGCTGCTTCTTTACTTGCTTTCCTTTTATTTATTATTATTATTATTATTATTATTATTATTATTATTATTATTATTATTATTATTATTATTACTACTATTATTATTATTATTATTATTATTATTATTATTATTATTATTATTATTATTATTATTATTATTATTATTATTATTATTATTATTATTATTATTATTATTATTATTATTATTATTATAATTATTATTATTATTATTATTATTATTATTATTATTATTATTATTATTATTATTATTATTATTATTATTATTATTATTATTATTATTATTATTATTATTATTATTATTATTATTATTATTATTATTATTATTATTATTATTATTATTATTATTATTATTATTATTATTATTATTATTATTATTTTTATTATTATTATTATTTTCTTTTTTTTTCTTTTTTTTGAGATGTTTTTGTACTTTCCCCTAATAAAAAGACATTTTGCTGTCATTTTTTCTAGATTTCTGGTAATACAGAGGGTATATTATTGTCATAACTGGTAATGTTAAATGTAGCATAAATTAAAAAAAAAATCTGTTTCTTATAACTTCCTCACTAATTCATCTCTACTGTACATATAAATCTTACCAGATAACATATAAGAATATATTAATTTTTCTTGCAATTATAAAATTGGCAAATTGGCGTTGATTTATCTATACAATTATTGGTGAGGGCGGTATATAACGGACGACCAAGGGAATTGTAAATTACATAACAGGAGATAACGCACATTGGTATGTAGACAAGAGTGTACGCTCTCTATTCAACTGGAAAAGTACGAAATGCAAAAAAAAAAACTAAAAACGGAAAACAAGAAGAAGATACAGCTCTGACTAACAGCGCTCCCGAATTAACAAAAAATGTTAAAAACATGAAAATATTGCACGTGTGTAGAATTAAAAATGTACTTGAGTTGATTCCTAGCCAAAGGTATGGAACAAAAAGTGGTTTTTGGGGAGGTTTCCAATCGATTCTCTCTTCCGTTGTATATTGAGTCACTGTTTCTCCCTTCAACTGTCATCTGAAATAGTTGTGAATGTCTATGAGAACTCATAACAAAAAAGGGGAATTCTTCAGTTTTTTCTTAGCTTTTTATTATTTGTAATACCTTCAAGAATAACATTGAGTTCTTTGCTATTGCATTCGTATCTTCAAAGTTAACAACAAACTGGAATGTATTAGTGAGAGAATTCTTTACATTTGGTGAAAGAGGTTCACACACACACACACAGCAGTGCTTAAGTCGTTTTATTAATTTCATAACATTTGTTTTTAGTTTGGGAATTGTGTGTGTGTGTGAGCGACATAGATGAGTATAATATGGACAATGTCACTGTGGTGGACATTGGTATCTGTTATAACCTGCATCAATACAAATGACATTAACACACATTTCTCTCATTATCTAAATGATGAATTTCGTTTCTCGTCGAACAAAGCAATTTGTCTCTTAATAAGAGCTCAAGCATGCAAACAGTGCGACCAATTAATGCATCAGAGAAAAGTCACTGTATATCTTTGAAATAAATATACCCAGCAAAAATTTGGTAGACTTATGTGACACTTTCAGCATTACTAGTTTTGACAACCACATACCCTTTGCATTACCAAAGCAATGGCACATTCCAAACTGCGTCATTCCGGCGGCACAGAGAGATCACGTTCGTTGGCAAAACCCAAGTCTCCGCTGGCGGAGGTTACCCGGAGTCCCAGAAGATCCCTAGTTGAACACCAAATTCATGGAAACAAAATAACAAAACAAACAAGTTAAAAAGCAATAAGTTCGGCCAGGCCGAACTTTGAATACCCTCCACCATTTGGAACGAATTTGAAAATTTTCAAAAAATAAAATCCTTAAAAAATGCTTTTAAAATTTTAAAAATACCGAATGTTGCCGTTATATTGGGGTCTATTCGATGTGGACCTACATAGGCATTGTTTGTCTTAAGCCATTACCATATTCGAATTCGAAACTTCAAATAAACGGTGAATAATGTAGCTAAAATCATCAAAATATCGTATATAGGGAGGTACCGTTATATCGGAGCTGTGCGAAAACCTGGACCAGCATAGACAATTTTCTGTCACAGGCGAACTTCAAATACGACATCTCAAACAATTTCGGAGAGTATTGTACCTAAAATCGTGAAAATACCGAATATAGGGAGGTACTGATATATGGGGGTTATACGAAGACGTGGACCTGCACAGATAATTTTCTGTATTAGGCTGTAGAATCTATTTCGAACTTCAAATACCAAATTTGAAACAATTCCGGTGAATAATGTCGCTGAAATCATCAAAATACCGAATATCGGGAGGTACCGTTATATGGGTGCTATATGAAGACGTAGACCTGCACAGATATGTTCTGCCTGTAGTATCCACTTCGAACTTCAAATACCAAATTTGAAATAATTCCGGTGAATAATGTCGCTAAAATCATCACCGTAATATGGAGGCTATCTGAAAACGTGGACCTACATGACCCATTTACGATCTTAACTGGAAAAATAAACATGTGTGCAAAATTTTAGCCTTCTATCTCAATTCGTTCGAAAGATATTACTCTTCGTAACGTTTTAGTACGAATTACAAAATACCCACGTTTGTCTGACACCTTTGCACCAAGGGTGACCCTCGCTCAATATTTCAAGATTCTAGCTGCAGCAGTTTCGACTGGGCGTTGACGAACTATTAATCTTTTATTAATATAGATAAAATAATAACAAAAAGTAATAAAGCCGTCAGTTCGGTCCGGCCGAACTTTGAATACCATTTGAAACGAATTTGGCAATTCTCAAGAACAGTAAAATCCGTTAAAAATTTAGTTAAAATATTAAGAATACAGAATGTAGCTGTTTTATTAGGGTCTGTACGACGACATGGACCTGCATAGGTAACTTCTGTCATAAGTCATTACAATATTCAGATGCGAAACTTAAAAAGAAAATCGGTGAATAATGTAGCTAAACTCATCCAAATACCGAATATCGGGAGGAACTGAATGGGGGGGGGGCTATACAAACACGTAGACCTGCACAGATAATTTTCTGTCTTAGGCTGTAGTATCCATTACGAACTTCAAATAACAAGTCTGAAAGAATTCCGGTGAATAATGTCGCTAAAATCATCAAAATACCGAATATCGGGAGGTACCGTTATATAGGGGCTATTCGAAGACGCGGACCTGCATGACCTATTTTCAATACCAAAAGTCCTGCAGATATAATATACATTTAAGTAACATTTTATCAACTTACTTCAATTCTTTCGGAAGCTAGAGTGATTTCCATAGACGGACGGACATTGCTAAATGGACATATAAGTTAATGCTGATCAAGAATATATATACTTTTTGGGGTCTAAAATGTATATTTCGAGGTGTTACAATGACAAACTGACAAACTTTATATACCCTCCATACTACAGTGGAGGGTATAATAAATTAATAAATCAAAGTAGCAGAACTCAATATTCGAACGAGTAAGGTTTTAAATTTCCCATAATATTTATATAATTTTTCCATTTTCCTTTTTATAATTATGGCTTTGCATCTATTTGAGCTTAGGTTATGAATTACTTCGAGATACTCATTGAATTTAATTTTCGCAAATGTTAATCCTAGGATATGTGTCCGCAATGAGGATGCCTTCTTCAAAAGTTATAAGTACTTGTCCATTTTCAGGATGTGGTATATCTGCCAAACTTTGAGTATAAGAGAGTGGACCAAGAACTAACCCTTGTGGTACTCCTGCTTTCATAGTATGTGATCTAGATTTGAAATTTTCGACATTACTCTATGAATTAATGCAGGAGAGAACATTAAGCATTTATCAAAATACATGTGATTATAGTATATAATAAACCCCAAAATATAGCTTTTATCCACTGCCACCCTTTTCCATTACCGTACGCGAGTTACCTCATATTCAGACTCTCGAAAATCAATTCCTAAATCTTCTCATCGTACCGACTTCAAAGAAACAACCTGTGGCCATGAATACGACGAATGTTTATATTTTTTGTTTTTACGTTTGTGTGGATGTTTTAGCAACTGAAAAACGACTCAATTTTGAGTTTATTATTATAACTCTCAGCCGCATTACATCAAACAAACGAAGTTCGAATGGGACTTGCAACATGGTTTGAATGTAATATTCACCATGGTTGGCATGGTTTGTTGTTGAAATTTAGAATTGAAATCAAAACATATGCCCACGTTGTCCGTAAATAATGAGAGGGAGAACCACATAGCTTGCCTACCCATCTACCGGCTTTGTTGTCTATTAATGCAATGTTTCGGTGACATTTACATGTGGTTGTATTTCTGTTTTTATATCTCTCTAAGAATATGAAAGTAACTTAAATACTAGAAAGGGGGGTTTATCTCTCTCTCTCTCTCTCTCTCTTTTCGTAAGCACTCGATTCACTGGCTCACTTGTTGTAATTTGAGTTGTTTTCGTCGGTTCGTTTCTTTTATTATTTTACTATTCAACTTAAGATGGTATTGGTGGTGTTCTCTTCGTGAGTGCTACTGTGAAGGTAGAACGGTTATGTATTGTGTGTATGTGTCCATGTGCATGTTTGTTGGTGGTGGTGGTAATTGTTGTCCTCCGAATTTCCTCTTACACTACCACCAACATCCATCCATTGAGCTTTTCAACTAGGAAATGTTGATAATGTTGTTTAGTTCTTGACGCTCTCGCTCTCATTTTGCCCATTGCATTACTGAGAATGTTGCATGCCTGCCTGTTGATGATGGGGTGATGATGGTTTGCTGTTGTTGTATTCAATGGCGCGCTCTACTATCTCGTTGTGAGTGTAGTGTGTGTGTTCTGTGTGTTTTTTAGCGAAACTGAGACAACAGAATTGCATAAAAAACACAGTAAACTGAACTGTGACGTCGCTGCATTTGCAGCGCAGCTGCAGCGCTGTTGCAACAAAAAACAAATGCATTTTTTTAACGTAAATGTACGATGTCGGCGTTGAGGTGGCTTACAAATGGGTGCAAGTTTATGTACGGATGTGTGAGTGTGTTGCAGTGGTGATTTTAAGAACGGAATAGAATAGAACTTTATGTTAAAGGTTGGTCATGGCTTTTGGCGCGTTGCACGCCGCCATCGCCGCTGCTGCGTTCATGGATATCTATATATGCAAGTATGGACGTGAAGCTAATACGTCACCGTGTCCATAGTTGTTGTTGTTTTTGGTTCTAGCCGTGGAGTGAGTAAGCCTTTGAGTATTACGTGTATAGGTGTGTGTGTGTGTATGTGTCGATATGTTGTTTGGCCGTCGCGTATATTGGTTTGTGGGTTCTGTGTGTGATATAATTTTGCAAATGACTTCGGCGTCGTTAGTCGCATAAACACAACGCATCCGATATGCAACGGAACGCATTTTCGGACGCGGCCCGAGTCGATCCGAGTAGCGTCCGATCGCGTCTACCAATAGTAAATAAAAATAACAATTATGGTTCAATTAATCTCTTTCTCTCTGGCCACACGTTCCGTTTTTGTTCATATTAGTTCTCTGCAATCAGATGGGGGGGATTAATTTTTAATTAAAATATTTAATCAATAAAGTTCTTAGAAAAAAGGACAGTTTGACACGTTATTTACGAGATCAGACCCCAAAAAGTAGAATTCAAAATAATTTTTCTAGAAAGCCAATTCTCTAGAAATTTAGCAAATGCATGTGTGTTAGTGAATAAAAAATGGAAAATTAACAAAATTACAATAAGAACAACAACACCACTAATATTAATATTATTAATAACCAATAATGTAATCGTAATCGCAAGTGTATCGGTGTGCGTATTCGACGATGATGTTGTTGTTGTCTCTTGGCTGTTTTTTTTTTTTGCATTGTGTTGTCGTAGTTTTTCTTTTCTGTTTTTTTTTTTTACATCTCCCGGTTGGGGTTTTTTGCATTTCGTCCGCTGATGGTGCTGTGTCGCTGTCGCCGTCGTTGCTGGATTTCTGCAGTGAGAATGTTTGTGAAATTTTCGCTTACATGCTTTACTTTTCTTCGTTGTCGCTGTTGTCGTCGGTTCTTTTGTGGTGTGCTGTTCTGTTCTGTTCTGGTCTGTGTTCTGTCCATGTTCTGAAGTCTGTTCTGTTCTGTGTTCTGTTTCTCTGTGCATTTCTGCCTTCTTTTTTGCTATTTGTCAAATTTAACGCGTTTTAACGTTATTGCCATGATTCTTTTTTACATCGTTTTCATTTTAGTTCGCAATCGTTGCATTACGCGCTCACTTGCTCGCCGCTAAAATACGCTCCAACAACATTACGCGCGTTCTTGTAATAAGACTTGTAACTGCATGCGTTCTTTGTACACCGTTCAGTTTTTTATTGTTATTATTATTTTTGATAATAATTTTTTGTAATAACAATAATAGTTGTAATATTTATTGTTGTGTTTTATAATTTTCAATTATTTGTGTTTCTGGATTTTTTTTTCCATTTTCAAATTTATTCAATGTAATGTAATTTTGAGTTTAAAAAAATATATATATAACAAAGTGTATAAATAAAAATATTAAAAAATAAATATTAATTAAAAATATTAAAAACAAGTTCTGGAAATAATATTCCATATTTAATTAAAATTAGTTTTGTGCGTGAATAAATGCATGTCTTGTTATAAATTGTATTTAGTGGGTGTGTGCAATAAAAAAAATGCGGAAGTTATTTAAAAAAAATGAAAACATAAAAGTGACATCAAGGTTACTTTGGCATATGCTAACGAATTTTAAAGTGACAAAAAATAAAATGAAAATTTACAAAGTACCTATATATAAAGTGACAAACTGGGTAAAACAAAAAATCTAAATACTTGAAAAATACATGATGTGAAAAAAAACGTCCGAGTGTATCCAAAAGAATGTATTCAAAAAATTGAAAAAAATGCAAAAAAATTAAAAAAATACAAAAATGTTTAAACACACATAAAACTTGAGAAATACAATCATTTATATAAATTAAAAAAATAATATGCTATAAAATCTATAAAAACATACAATTTAAAAATCTTCAATTAATTAAAAAATATTTATATTAAAAAAAAAATTTGATTGATATAAAAATGCATTTAGTGAACAATCCCTTTTTCGGGTACTTTTACCCCTTATGATGAATCAGTGAAAGAAAAAAACAAAAAAAAAAATCAATCTTGCGTCTCTCTTAAACCAGACCATCAAAATAGTTCAAATATTATTGAAATGAATGTTATTATTTATTATGAAAGTTATTATTTAATCCAATGGATAACCCCGCAATTTAATAATATTCAAATTTCCTAAATATAACGGCTTTATAAATATTTTCTAAATTTAGTGTGGAATTACTGTTCAAAACACCGTCTCATATAATTAAAAATGGAATCGGGCTAAACTCATTCATATAAAAGAGGATCCATCTGTCCCTCCTATTTCTCTGCTTTAAATTGTCAATGTTAATATGTCTTTGGAACTAAGAATATAAAAAAATGACATAAATTCGTTATATTAGAACGTGATTTCGTTTTGGAAATCTTTTACAAAAACTCTCCAAGAATTTTGAATAAATTACAAATTACAACTCATTCGGAAGGAAAATGTCTTTATTTTGAGCAAGAATTCTAACTATTGCTATTCCAGAATATTCAATCCGATACTGTTATATACCCTAGACAAATCGTGGATCCAAGTATATGGAAGCAATTTCTAAGGGAAAATCCTATCTAATGATCATCAATTTTTTATTTAGAAATTCAAAATACCGAATATCTAGACTATACTTAAACCTGGACTAAGACGGGAAAATTTTCATTCAAAACGTGCGATGAATTTAAATGTTCTACTCGAAATAATGTAGTCTAGCGCGACAACATATTGCCGAAAAGCATTAAAGTGTCTTAAAAAGTAGAAATTCAAAATTCCGAATATCTAGACTATACTTAAACCTGGACTAAAACGGGAAAATTTTCATTCAAAACGTGCGATGAATTTAAATGTTCTTCTCGAAATAATGTAGTCTAGCGCGACAACATATTGCCGAAAAGCATTAAAGTTTCTTGTGTTAAAGGACCAAATTTGCCTTTAATAATACACCAGAATATTGAACCATTTTTGCATGGTGTCGATGACGCATTTTGATCTAAAAAGAGCCCCGAATCGTAAATTTCAGGCCACTGGGATGAACATTGTGGTCACAAACACCATTTATTAGTGTTTGCTCGAATTATTAAAAAAAGAAGTAAGTTCGACCGGGTCGCACTTTGAATACCCCCCACCAGTTGAAAGGAATTTTAACATTTTCAAAAAAAACATTCGTTGAAAAATACTGCTAAAATCATGAAAATACCGAATATAGGGAGATACCTTTATATTGGGGCCTATACAAAGACGTGGACCTGCATGAGACATTTTCGGCTGCAGTATTCATTAGGAATTTCAAATTCCAAATTTGAAAAATATTCGGTGAAAAGTGTGACACAAATCAACAAAATATCGAATAAATGGAGGTACAGTTGAATATGTGGACTCAAATCTATATTAAAATTTCTATGCCAGGATACTCCTTACATAATGGGAACACATACTGAAAAATTGCAGCAAATTCGGTTTAAAATTGTGACTAATACAACCGGAAGTCCTTAAATCTGTCGTTGCAGTTATATGGGGGCAACGAGTTGACTTACCTAATAAGAAGATTTTATTATGGCAAATTCAGTTCGAAAACATGAAAACATTCCTTTGAGAATTCACCAATCCTCATTCTAGTGGCAGTTCGGAACAGCAAAAATGCAATTGCAAGCCTTATTTGATATCATAAATCAGTCACTTTCTTTTCACTTGATTACCTTGGGCAGTCACCTTCAGCATTAAAAATATTCGAGATAGAAAGCTAATTTTGGATTTTTGCAGAACATTTTGTTTAATTTCAGCTCTGTAATACTATCCAATCAAAATCCAAAATGGTAGGATTCTTTGCTGTTCCAAACTCTAATCCCGTGCATTTTGTTGATCGGTTCTTTCGTCCATTTCCTAAATTTATATACCATCAAGGAGTCTTTTTAAGTTAAACTTAGACTATAATGCAAAAATCGGCGTGATCGATCCATATTTGATGTCTGGAAATTGTTTATATATTATGGTGGACAGGTAGATCGACTCAGCTCGCCGAGATATGATGATCGGTATACCAAAAAGGTCAATTCTACCGAAATAATAGTTGATATTTCGGCAAAAAAAAATTATATTACTTCGGTTAGTTTAAAATGACATATGGGCGTGGTTTAAGCGCCTCCGAACTAAACTTGTCAGTAATTATTTCTGTCAGATATTGCTATATTTTCCCCTTTTTATACCCTACACCATAGTATATAAAGTTTATCATTCCGTTCGTAACACCTCGAAATATAAATTTTTAGACCCTACAAAGTATATATATTCTTGATCAGCATAAAATTCTATATCGATTTAGCGATGCCCGCCCTTCTGTCCACTATCTGTCTGTCCGTCTGCGAAAATCACTCTAGCTTCCCAACGAATAGAAGTAGATTGATAGGACTTTTGGTATTGAAAATAGGCCATGGGCGATATTCGGTATTTTGATGATTTCAGCAACATTATTCACCGGAATTGTTTCAGATTTGGTATTTGAAGTTCGTAATGGATACTGCAGCCTAAGGCAGAAAATTGTCCGTTCAGGTCCACATTTTGGTATATCCCCCATATAATAGCACATCCCTATATTGATGATTTTAGATACATTATTCACCGATTTTTTTTAAGTTTGAGTATTGTAATGGCTTATGCCAAAATTTACCTATACAGGTCCATGTCGTCGTATAGACCCTAATATAACAGCTACATTCGGTGTTTCTAAGTTTTTAACAGAATTTTTAACGGATTTTATTGTTTTTGAGAATTGCCAAATTTTTTCTTAGGTGATATCTACGTTAACACTTTTTACGTTAATTAAAAAAAAAAACTTAAATAAATATGGCAATAAAAAATATAAAATTCTCTGCACATATTTTTGTAACAAATTCAATCTTTCAATGTAAATCAATTGCTAAATGATTTTTTAAAATGTCTGGGAAAATTATGCAAAACTTTGTTGGCTATAACCCCCCATGCAAACCCTTTTCTTCTTCTTCATTCTTCAATTTTTTCCCTATTTTTTCATTTCCTGCTGCTGGAAAAATCAGCAAGAAAAACACATTTATTCACAAAAATGTCTAGCAGTCTAGCTGGTGAAGCCAGAAAAAAAAAAACCTGAAGGCCAAAAATAACAGAAAAAATTAAATGGGAATAAAATAAAAACAAAACTTGAACAAATTTCAATTAGAAAAAATTTACAATCCATTTTCATTCCAGCGAAGAACGAAACTACCCGGCACCATTATCAAAACGCAAAAAAATCAACTAACAAAAGTTCTAGCCAAAATTATTCCTTCTTTTTTC